AAAAGAATTACTAACGAGATGATGCTTGTAAAGACTAGAATATTCGGTGAATCTCCTTCCACAATTTTCTATGGAGCATACGTACGGCTTCTCGCCTGAATGAATTCGTATGTGATTCTTATAGTTTGTTGCGCTCGCGAAAGCCTTGCCACACTTGGGTTGCGTACATTTGTACGGACGTTCGCCGGTGTGCGTTCTAACGTGAACCTGGTGAACAAAGAAGGTGAACGAGGTACGAGATCGAGGCGATATCTCGTGGTTGAAATTGAATTTCATTTTTTCTTTTCACGTTTCTCTCTTACCTTTCTGATGTTGCTCGTGGTGAAGGAACGACCGCAACCGTTGAACGGACACAAGAATGGGCGTTCGCCGGTATGCGTCCGTACGTGTTTCAGTAAATCTCCGGATGTTTTGAAACTCTTGTCGCACGTTTCGTTCGGACATTTGTAAGGTTTCTCTCCGGTGTGCGTGCGCAAATGAGCTTTTAAACTATACCCTGTTGAGAAGCTCTTCTTACATTTCGGATGCGTGCATCTGTACGGTCGTTGACCGGTGTGAGATCGTTCGTGAACCTGGTCCAACCGGATAGACAGATTTGCAACGTGATAAAATATCGCTTTGTCGTTTTTTCAGATCGCTGATCCGCGTGAATTGAATTTTTCCACGTCCAACAGATTCAAACAGATTCAAACAGAATCAAACAGATTCGAACGGATTAACAACGACCGAGTGTTGTCAAGTGTTGTCGTTCAATTTTTCTTTCAATTTTTAAAACACGTGATACGACCTGACAGAGATCTAACAGAGTCTAATTTTTGGTGTTTGGAACCAGCAATTGGCGATTGGCGATTGGCAATTGGCGATTGGCGATTGGCAATTGGCAATTGGCAATTGGCAACTGGCGATTCGCGTAAACGAAAGACGACGCCAATTAATTGTAGTATGTTGATAAATCTGAATGAAATCTTGCAAGTTACGTAAAGTATAAATATACGTGATAAAGGAAAGGAGACCCTTGGATTTGTCCATTACCTTGAGATGATGGGGTGTACTGTAAACTTTCGAACAGCCCTCTCTGGGACAAGGATGCCTTATCCTGGACGTGGACAGTTTGTTCAATAAGATCTTGGAATTCTCCTTCTTCTTCAATTTGCCGTCTTCGATCTCCCAGAAATTTTTGCCAACGTCTAGGTTACCAGCCACCATGTAAGCGTTGCCATCGATAAACTCCACGCACGGATAGTTCTCGACGTTCTCTACGGTAGCGTCGCGAGCTTGGACCAAAGTTGCTGGCTCCAACTCCAGTTGAAGTGGCTTGCCCTCGGCAAGCTCTGCTATGTCTCGCAGCAATATTGTATCTCCGCTCTCCAATTCTAACGTTGCTTGCCTTCTTTTAAAATCCATGTCTGTGAAAGAGAAAAGATCAAAGCGATATTACCGACCAAAGACTATTTGCCAAAGTGTGTGACGGAACGCAAATTACAATTTAATCAAGTGTCGACTCGTTTGAACGTTTGATTATTTTCTTTTCTTTTTCTTTTTTTTCTTTTCTTTGCTTTTCTTTTCTTTCTTTTTTGTGCATGCGTATCTATGAAATCTTGAAATCATGCGCGACTAAATGAGTAAACGAATAAACGAATAAACGAATAAACGAGTAAACGAGTAAATGACGTTTAATTTTCTTTGATTGATCGACGAGCGATACGTTTCATGCGTATTCCTCTTGCGTGTTGCGATTAATTTCTAACCAACCATCGTTGTCGATGAAGTTATTGGTAACAAACGCTTGCGTCCCATCGGGCAGTGTTACCGCTGTCAAAGTTGTGCCACCGCTCAACAAGTGCTGGTCCAATGCTAGCTCTTCCGTTCGATCGTATCCAGAATTATTCTCGTTAATTAAAACTGAAAGACACTCCAATATATCCATGCGATTGCTCTGTGCACAATAAATAAAGTAACGAGAGTAAGAGATACTTTTCACACGCGACACAACGACTGTATGTATATATATATATATATACTGTATGTATGTATATATATATATATATATATATTTCACACGATACATTGACGACGATTTCAATGAATGGGTTGTTGGGGGTACAGGAATCAACGGTTAAATGAAATCAACGAGTGCCTCTACCTGTGCTTCTACCTCTGACATGGTCTCGACGTGGTCTCGAGTCACGAAACGATTCGATAGTTCGGCGCCTTCTGTCGACATATTTCTCTACAAATCCAGAGCTGCGAACAAAGAACGTTTCGCGATGATCGTCGATGATCCACGTCATTATTTCGTGTCTTAGTTTCATGTCCGTTTCGGGTCAACCATCTGTCTCTCGACGAAACAGGGATCGTCAGCATCCGCTCGTTTGCGACGCATCGAAGATTCTATCTGTGCCAAGCTAGTATCGTATCGAGTTATCTCTTCACCGACCACCACCCACGAATATTTTCCCATACGAATATTTACAAGAGAGGTGTGCGTGTTGTGCGTGTGTGTGTGCGCGCGCGTGTGCGTGTACGAGTCCAGTCTCGAGATATCGCTCGCCAATTGATCGAGTATTCGGTAGTACCCCGAGTATGTATTCGCCCGACGATATATAACGACGAGACGAGACGAGACGAGACGAGACGGAGACGCGCGGAGAACCACTACACTCGCGAGCAATATTTTTTTATACGCACGTACACGTGAGAAGTAATCTCGACGATATCTAAAAGCAATACCGATTATCGCGAATATCGTTGCGATAATCGACAAAGAAGATTGAACCGACGACGATGAGATAGATACGATAGTTACGATTCGCACGAGACGAAAGACGCGTACACCGAAAACTCGCCATTTGTCGAAATAAGCACGAGCTGCGAGTCGGGATTTTTATCATTTACGACACCGTAGGATAAGGTAAAGTCGAATAAAATTCGAATGTCTTTCGTTTCTCTCTTCTATTTTCTTCGTCTTTCTTTCTTTCTTTCTTTCTTGCTCGCTCGTACGGCTTTCGATTCGACTTTCGATGTTTCGCGCAGCCTCGTAATTTCGTACCAAAGAATCTTGGGAAATATTACCCACAAACTCGTACACCCGCGAAACCTCTTGACCGCTCGACGGTCGGTCGAGATGTATACGTGTATTAAATGCGCGAACAAATGAGATTTGAAACGATCGATTCGACGAACGTGATCGACAATTTTACGCACCGTTAGACGAGCAACGTCAATGACGATAAACTTTCTTTCGTCCAAGCTACATCGTGAAACGAAACGACACGATTGATGATAACCTTCTTCGAATTATATATATATACATATCTCATCGTGTATAGTCTCGAGAATTTTAACGCAGTTACACACTTTTAGCTGGATTTTCAATTCTTACATTTCGTACGTTTCTATCGCAATCTCCTTTGCCTTTTATCGTCATGTTATTCTATGGAACGGTGAACGTGTCTCTTTACGAGGCGTAACGACTCGTTTTCGAACGACTCTCTTTCTCTCCTTGTCTCCCCTCTCCTCTCCCCCCTTTGCCCGTCGACTGCTAGCCGAATCTCGCTCTCTATTGGTCAATTTTATCGCAACTACGTGCGAACAAAGTCGAAGGTTAACAAATAGACGTTGTCCATCTTTCTGCTCGCTATTTTTGCAAAACTACTCTGATAAATTTTTGAGGAATTTTCACTCTGCGTGTTCGTTAAACGCGTGCGAATATTATACCGTGTCTATAAAAATCGCGACAGAATGGAAAACGATACGATGGAAAATACGCGTAAGCCATGTGCTACGTTCAGACGCGTCACGCTTACACCACCATTGACTAAATATAGAGTCGATGGTTACGCATCGTGTGGCCTGTGCATGTACGTACATAAATATAGATGGCAGTTAGTACGTTGTCTCGAGGTGTATATCTAACTGTACTACTGTGATTTTGTCTGCTGTGTACGTGCATCGTTAACGTTAACCCGTGTTAATCCTGTAAACCGGAGTCAAAGTAGACGGATATATTGGAGGTTGTAAGTGAAAGATTTTATCATTTGCAACAGAGTTTGCATCGTATTTGTTCTTATCGACCGTTCTGAACAATTTTCCGCAAAATATTAAACATTATCCTTTCCGATCCAGGTTCAACAGACGAAAGGAAGATATTGTTTGTTTATACGTCGAACGGCAAAGTTGGCAGGAACGTTCCAGTCGGCAGAATTGACACGGACGTCTCACTTTTCCAAAGTGTGATTTTCTTTGCTTTTTGCAAGTTCCTTGCTGCAAAACAACTCGCACTTGTGACCTGTGCGAAACGTTCGACGAAAACTATACAACTACGATACGTCCGCAGAGTCGATCGAGCAATTTGTTGACTCGCATCGACGTGTGCAACGATACGCGTGCACGTGTGCGTATATGTACACTGATGTTTAACGAACGTACGATCGAGAAGAGAGCTCGTTTCGTTGGGACTCGGGGCAGTTGGTAATCGACGCTGTTGGTCTCCATCAAATTCAGGCTCCGATGTACGCATCGAGTGAAACAATTACGTCGCGAAAAGGTAACCAACAACTCTGATGCTCTTTATTTTCTTTTTTCTTCTTTTTTTTTT